GACATGAGAGGTTTTGATCTGTTGGGCAGGGATCTACACTTGGAAGAATTGATCCAGGAAGTCTCCCCCTGACACCAAGCCCCGTATTTAGGGTAAACAGAGCTCAATGGAATGGGAGATCAAGCTATGTAGGGCAACAACACATGGGTTGCAGCTCTGGGTAGACTGTACTCCAAAAGACTCCTTCTGCGGGCATTGCCCAGCGTGCTGACCCCATCGATGATGTCATCAGTATAATCACTTTAAACCCCAGGGGGATGATTGACAATGTTGTACTTTTTTGTTTCTATGGGTTTTTGTTTTCCTGCCTTTAGCACATTTGTTTGTTTGTTTGCTAGTTGGTTGCTGCTGCTGTTGGTATAGTTGGTCTTATGTGGCTTTGATTTTGTCATAAGATGCATACCTTTTCTGATTTTAAACCACACAGTATTCCCCTTGTTTGAACAACTGCCTCTTAATCTATATTCAAGTTCCACATGAGCACAAATAAGCGTTCTAGAATTCCAATCCCTTGCGATGTTATCCATAGTTAGTCGTTAGGACCCACACAGTCCACTGCCTTTGCATAGTCAATAAAACACAAATACACATCTTTCTGGCATTTTCTGTTTTTCAGCCAAGGTCCATCTGACAGCAGCAATGATATTCCTGTCTACTTCCTTTCTGAATCCAGATGCTGCAACTGATTTATAATGATCTTTAGCAACATCTTACTTATGTGTGATACTAATGGTATTGTTCTATAATTTCTGTCGGGTCATTTAGCATGTGCACACATAGGGAGCTCTTGCAGTAATCGGTCCAGGCAGCTGTCTTCCAAATTTCTTAATATAGATGAGTGAGTGCTTCGAGAGTTGCAGCCGCTTGTTGAAACATCTCAGTTGGTCTTGTGTCCACCACCTGTAAACCCCCTTTCAGCGGAGTCCATTTCGACTTACAGTAACCCACCAGTGGCTCCGCTTTAAAAATCATATGCTTTGTAAAGATTACAGCTTTGGAAGCCCTGGTGGGGTAATTCTACCGTGCCCAACATAGGGTGCTATGAGCGCACCACCTAGGGGGGGGGAAATAGAAAGCCACTGTGAGGGCCTGTGGGCGTCCCAGTGACTTGGTGGGTTAAGGTTGGCAATTCAAACCCACCTGCCGTTCCTTGGAAGAAAGATGAGGCTGTCCTGCATTTACATTTATTTACAGACGCGAAAACCCTAAGGAGCAGTTCTGTAGGGTCGCTGTGAGTCGGAATCAGCTGGCCGAATGGGTTTGATTTTTGTTCGGGTTTGTGGACAGGACCGGGACCAGGCGACCCCCAGGAGTCCCAACTTCACCGGCTTACTCGCTGGGCCCAGCCTTCCTCCGCAGGCTGAACACGCCCAGGAGGTGTAGTCACCGGCCCTCGTGCACCCTCTGGCCAATGGGCGCGCCGGATCCGGGCCCACACCCCCCGC